ACCTGTCAAGAAGATGATGGTGAGGCTCGAGGAGGTGGTTGCAGGGCTTGAAATTGGTCCAAGATGCTCCTACAATGGTGAAGAACCTTCTGTTTGCACTTGTTGTGAAGGTGGTGGCTTGAAGTGAAAGAAAACTCAAGTTGCTTCAACTTGAAGAAACTCCTCCAATGGCTATGTATCCTTCTCTCTCCTCTGACTTGGCTCCACTTTCACCAACCATAGACTCTCCATAATGCACTCTTTTTATAACAATCCATGGAAGTCTCTAGATTCATCTAGAATGATGTGGAAGTTTCATGAATTTCTCCTTGAATGAGAAGTTGGTTATCTCATCTCCCATGCTTCAAGCCTTCAATTTGGTCTCAAAATGTCCTTATGTGAGTTATTGAATGAGGATGAGTGAAAAACAAGTGTATTTGTTGCTTATGTAGGGTTTTCTAACATTGCCTTCTTTCTTAAGTAACAAATTTCCAAAGGAACCTCATTTTTTAAGCCTCAAATGAAAATTCTACTTAAACCAATCTTCTCAAAATGTTTTTTCCAATCAAAATGATATATTGGATGACCTATTTTGGATTTGTAGATCTTCCAAAACACTTTTCAATTTCAACTTTTCAAAGTTATAAGTCATTTTTAGTTCATTTTTGACCAATCATGGAATCTTGTGCTATGAGCTTTTTCAACAATTTGTGACCTTCTTTCTAGACTTAAAATCACATTTTGAGCAACTTTCATGTTTTGAGTTTTTCCATTTGAGGCTTGGAAATAGGAGTTTTAGGCATTGGCTAAAATGACCTATAACTGACAAATGACCAAAATACCCCTGCCTTGTTCAAACCATAAGTTGAGTTCCACAAATCCAATCAAGGACTTCTACCACTCAAATTAAAGCTAAGAAGATCCTCTTCAACATTCATGTTGACCAAGAAACCATAGGAATCAACCTACTAGGGCAAAAGTTGTCTGCAAGTTGGGTGACTTTCAAGGACCCAGATTCACACACCTCTGCTGACCTGTAATTTGTCAAAACCATAACTTGAGCTCTGTAACTCCTATCAAGGACTTCCACCACTCAAATTAAAGCTTAGAACAAGCTCTACAACATTCATGTTGTGGGGAAGATGAGATCTCAATCACATCTATAGCTAAAACTGCCTGGAAAATAGGGATCAAATTAGGGTTTTCTCACTGACAATCCTCAGAAACCCTGACTTGAAACTTCTCAAACTCCTCAATCATGATGAGTTGGTCTAGGAATCATCTTTATAACATCTCTATGCATCATTCCATGATCTCATGGCCCTTGGATTGAGTCTCAACCTTCTCCAAATCTTCAGTTATCCTAGGGTTGAGCCAGTCAAAACCTTAATTCTACCTTTCATGGTTGAATCTTCTGAACTCTTACACAATGACTTCTCTGGTGTTCATGAAGGCTATCAAGACATCCCATAGGCTTTCTCAAAACATCAAGTTCATTCTCAAAGCCTCAGAATCATCTGAGGGGCACCCACAACTCTCAAGCTATGAAGCACACAACCCTAGTCTCAATCAATTCCTCTGAGGATCTCTTGACCTTCCTGATGAAGGTATCAACTTTCAAACACTCAATGAATGAATAATTGTTGGTCAAATTTTGGGGTGCAACACCCGGTAGCTAGGATGAACGCCTCTAAGAGCTTTGTTCCTCGCCAGTGTGTGTCTATCACGGAGAAGTTTTACTCAAGGTCTCCTCGCGTGTGTCGGGGTCATCCCGATTGGGAGCCTCGCTATCGGGGTGGCTTATCGCGTAGAGACTTCTTTGCCTAAACTACCTGTTCAAGAATTCCTGCTCAAGTCCTCTAGCATGAGACTTCCTTGCCTAAACTACTTGTTCAAGACTTCCCGCTCATTCATTCAGATCGATACTTCCTGCTCCGCTCGTAAGCATGAGAATCCACTGCCTAAACATCCAGTTCATGACTTTTTCTCTGATCGCAAGCATGAGACTTCAAGTGCTCAATCACATATAAAAATACTTATTCTGAGCACAAAGGCTAGAGTCTTCGGATTCTCATAACAGAGGAACTGGTATTAACCTTGTGTTCATATATGTGCTTCTTGGATAAGCAGATACACAAAGGTTTACACTCTTTAGCAGATTTGAATTGTTTGCTCCTGAGCGTAGAAGAATGAAGGTTTCATTCTTCTTCCATCCTTCCATAAATTTCCTTTTGGTTGTGTCTTTTTGTTCTTGATCACATTCACTTTAGAATGTATGTGAACATGTCTCAATCCACTCTAACACACTTAACCCTTTTGGTTATGTAATTTTTTGAAGATTGCGACTACCATGAAGACGTTGAAGATTGCGACTACCATGATACAAATAGTCGTTGAAGGTTTTTAGCATATGGACAATAAAGTGAGCTAAAAAACGAGCTAGCATAAAGACGTTGAGAGTAGCAGAACAGAGTTCAGAATAGTTGGAGAGAGAAGATTTTGACAACGTCACTATAAGTAGATTTGACATAAAGTAGTGTATAATTGTCATGTGATCTTTGGATAACTTCTGATTGGGGCCTTCTTGTAGACATTTGTTAAAGATTGCTCAGAGTCTTGTTATCCTTATACTTAGCTTTCTGATTCATATGCTTTTTGTAGAATTAGTTAAAACATGATCAGAAGCTAAAGTATGTCTTCAGAATCTGGTTGGAATGAGACTTCAGAGTCTTAAGTTCACATGTTCTGAGTCTTGCCTTCATTAGAGTCTTGATCAAAACTAGTCTGGATGTATGCTTTCACAAATAATGACTTGATGTAGACAAAATTCTTTGAAGCAATGTCTTCAGAAATGCTGATGAGGATTGTTCAGAAGATATATATAGAGTAGTTCCTTAAGAACAAAGTCTGCTTGGTTCAATGATTCTAGTCTTAAGAGCTGAACTGATCTTTATATTCCAAGTAAACTTAGGTTTAGCATTTGAAAGACTTGAGTTGACTCTTCAGAGTCTGAATGCTTGGTTCTGATCATTCAGATTCAGAACAGTTTTGCTTCCTTGTAATGTTTCTTAAGAGTTATATCAAGGTTAATGTCTTTTGATTCTACACACTTGAATAACCATTAGTAAACCCTATTGTTCTTTAAATACTTTGTTATCATCAAAAAATTTAAGGGAATGGACAAATCTTGTTCTAACAAAGATGAAATTGGGTAAAAAATAAGACTGTCGATTTAGAGAAAAGGGGAAGTAGAATAATAATTTTGTAGAGAAACTTCTCTGCTTTTCACACTGAAATTTCATCCAATTATACAACTGCATTACAACAATGATAGGATATCTTCCTATTTAAAGGCTGATATTGTTTGCACACCAAACAATTTCTAACTAACCTAATTAACTTAGCTAAAATAAACAAATAAAGTTAAGTCAGAATAATATCGAGACACATTTCTTTAACATTTCAACATCTAAATGTTTCGACATCTTCTTATTTCTGTCAAACAACATGCTTCTAGAAGTGGCAAAGTGGGCGGCCCGTCCCGTTTAGAAATGTCTCATTTAATCCCGTTCAAATGCAAGGCGGGGCGGGATGGGCCAACTTAGGCATCCGAGCTCAAAAGTCAAGCTCGCCCCGTTTACTAACGAGTTGGCGGACCGGCCCGCCATTTTTTTTAACAATTCGATTTAATACTTAATTTACAAAATTGTTACTCATTAACAAAGAGACCGATAAATTTTAACAATGCATAGTAAAACTTTAATAACTCTTAATATAAATGTCATATTCTTCATCATAAACAAACATTGTAACTATAATTCCAAAATTTTAAAACAAACACACTAAAATCCCAAAAATAAAAAATGTATCATCATAATGAGAAACAAACCCCTATGTGCAAAACTTACCTTATAGCTTTAGAACTCGGTTCTAATGACAACGAGTAATAGAAAATATAAAATAATGTATTATTTATATTTTGCAATAAAGACTTTTTCTATTATGAGTGAAAATAAAGAACGAAGCAGAAACCAATTAATGTCTTTAAAATGAGATATTTGTGGTTATCTGAAAAATGAATATTAGAGTTTGAAGAAATGAGAATTGTTTTAAAAGTATGTCTATTACATACCACGTTAATATTGTTTTAATTTCAAATAAAAAATAATTTTTTTAAACAAAAAATTCATGAATAAAACCTGCCTCGACCCACCTTAAACCCGTTTTAAAAGTGGGTTAGGCGGGGCAAGTCAACTTAAAACAACGAACTGAAAATCTCGGCTCATCCCACCAAATATAATGGGTTAAATGGACGGATCTAACCCATTTTATCACTGATACATGCTTCGATATAAAGAAATACATTCTTAATAATTGTTACATATTTTCATAAAATTGAAAAAATAAAAACATTAAAACATTGAAATAGCTAAATAAAGTAAGGGTTTAAATAAAAAGAATGCAATATTTGTAGAGTAAAGACATAATAAAATCCTTAACAACATATAGTGAAGAAATTAAAACCCTCCTAACTCTTGTTATACACCTTATCTATCCCCACCGCACCGCTCCTTTTTAATTATCGTACGGTTGGAATGAATCAATCAAAAAGCGTATCCTTTAAAGTAAAATCAACGGCTGAAATATCGTTCAACGTACGGTAACGATCGAAAAAGTGCACCGCCTAAAAAAAAGTGGTTACGTTGCGTTGTTTTTAGGCTCATCTCAAAGAAAGGAATAACAGTTGAGAAGTGAATGGTAGGTGTGACAGTGTGTTGAGAAGTTATTACTTATTAGTGTGCGTTCCTTCTCTTCTCTTCTTCGAATATCTTTTCCTTACATTGCTTCGTAACTTCCATTCTCGTTCTTCCTCTTAATTCATAATTTCGTTTCACACATTTTACTACCAAGGTTTTCTATATCATGCATTTTTTTATTTTCACGAACTCTTACTTGTATTATTATTATTATTATATTTGGTATCTAAATTTGAATTTATAAATTTGTATGAACAGGTGAACATGATGAAGAAATTGCATGGATTAGTGTTGTGTCTGTTGCTGTTGCTGTCAACTCTTTTGCTTTCTGCGGTATCATTTGCATCCAGTGATGGGCTGAGAAGAATTGGATTGAAAAAGATTAAATTTGACCCTAACAATAAGCTTGCTGCTCGAGTTAGATCTAAAGACGCAGAGTTTTTCGGTAAAAAGTATAATGGCCAAAACAATTTGCTTCGCTCCGAAGAAACTGATATTGTTGCGTTAAAGAATTACCTAGATGCTCAGTACTATGGTGAAATATCTATTGGAACATCTCCTCAGAAGTTCACTGTTGTTTTTGATACTGGAAGCTCTAATCTGTGGGTTCCGTCTTCCAAATGTACCTTCTCGGTGAGCTTTTGTATGCTCGATCGAATTAATTGAATGTAATCACATGTATCGGTGTATATCAGTGTCGGCCCCTACTCACTAATAATACATGTCAGACACCAGACATGTATTCAATTAGAAGTGTTGGTGCTTTAGAGCTAATGAATGTGTGTGTTATGTTTTCGTCGTTGGTTCTTGTATTTATTCACTTCATTTTACATTTTGGTGCAGGTTGCATGCTACTTCCATGCCAAGTACAGGTCAACCAAATCAAATACATATAAGAAAAATGGTGTGTATTCCTCTCTTTATAATTTTATAAACCAATTCTCTAATATTTATGTTACCGTGTAGTGTTCATTACATTTTTCATAGTAGTTTGAAATCTTCTTTTGTTGTTGGTGTGGTGGTTGTTGTGAGGTCTTAATATGCTTTGCCATTAGTTTGGAATTCTACCATCCACCCTTTGGTTATTGGCAATTCCTGCTTTTCAACATATTGTAATGTGTGGTCTTCTATTTTGGGTGACTTGATGTTTTGCATTTGTAGAGGGAATGCTATCTTTGTTTTTAGTATAATATTTATTTTGGCTTCTTCCTGTTATCTAGGGACTGCTGCTGCAATTCATTATGGTACTGGAGCAATTTCTGGCTTCTTTAGCTATGACAATGTCAAAGTTGGTGACATAGTTGTCAAAAATCAGGTAATACTGATCATTTGTCTTGTTTGTGTCAAAATAAGGAAGGGGAAACTTTGCGTCTTTCATAATATGTTTGATTATTAATCCACATAGCACCTTTTGACACCTATCAGGAATTTATTGAAGCAACTAAGGAGCCTGGTGTTACCTTTTTGGTGGCCAAGTTTGATGGTATATTGGGACTTGGGTTTCAAGAGATATCAGTTGGAAAGGCTGTTCCAGTGTGGTATGGTTACATCTAAATTTAATTTTTTGTTCATCATTTTGTTAGGATTTTATTGAATGGTTGCCTTGCAAATGCTATGTAAGATTTATCAGACTCATTCAGTGGATGTGACCCTTCTTTTTTAGATCTGTTCATAGTGGAAACCTTTTATCTCCAAACTTCCAGTTTTTCTTAAAAGTTTATTGAATCAACATGTCATTATCGGATCTTACGTGTCACAGGTACAATATGGTTGAACAAGGTCTTATTCAGGAGGCAGTATTTTCGTTTTGGTTCAACCGTAAACCAGAGGAAGAGGAAGGGGGTGAGATTGTCTTTGGTGGTGTTGATCCTGCTCACTACAAGGGAAATCACACTTATGTTCCTGTGACAAGAAAAGGATATTGGCAGGTTAATTAGTAAAACTTACTTTTTTATACTTCAAATTCTTTTGGTTTTTACCCTTTTTCTCTGATTTTCTGTTTTGTTTTTTTTTCTTTCAGTTTGATATGGAAGATGTAATTATTGATGGTAATTCCACTGGTATGTGAAGATTACTGTAGGCAAAAATACCAATTTATTTTCCTAGTATATAATAGCATTTTCATATATGGATCTTGCTTGGCGTTGATTTCATTGGTTTGGCGTGTTCTTATTGTCATTTCAGGATATTGTGCTGATGGCTGTTCGGCCATTGCTGACTCGGGGACTTCATTGTTAGCAGGTCCAACGGTATGAATAAATGTTGTAGATATATATTGATATTTAGCCTTTTAATTTTTCAACTAAAAAAAAGGCATTGGCTAATGCTTTTTACTAGCTTGTTTCTATCTATGACCATGTGATTTATTATTCTAGACTGTAATTACCATGATAAACCATGCAATTGGAGCATCTGGAGTTGTAAGCAAAGAGTGCAAGACCATTGTTGCGGAGTATGGTCAAACAATATTGGACCTGCTTTTATCTGAAGTGAGTACGATTTGTGATTTGTTTTTGGCATATCTTTGTTGATTAGATTGTTACCTATGCTCATGAACAGTATGTTAGAAGAATGGTTCTTTTAGAATATGACTTTTCTTATGCTTTTTCTTTACTCCTTTATAGGCACAGCCGAGGAAGATCTGTTCCCAAATTGGATTGTGTGCTTTTGATGGCACTCGTGGTGTTACGTAAGGCCCAAATATATTTTTACCCTTCGACTCTTTGGTCATTGAATCAAAATACAATTGCACTTTGATTAACATTTTACCGGTCTTTAATTTTTTCCACTTTTAGTTTGGGTATCGAGAGTGTAGTAGATGAGAATGAAAGAAAATCATCTGGTGGTTTTCACACTGCTGCTTGTTCTGCCTGTGAGATGGCAGTTGTTTGGGTGCAGAACCAGCTGAAACAAAATAAGACTCAAGATCAGATACTAACCTATATCAATAATGTGAGTTAGTTGTGTTAGTCCTGCTATTTGTGTATCCTGTTACACCTCTTGATTCTCAGCTTAATGATGATGTTGCAGCTTTGTGATAAAGTGCCTAGCCCAATGGGAGAATCAGCTGTTGATTGTGAGAATATCTCTTCGTTGCCTGTAGTTTCCTTCACAATTGGTGGAAGAACTTTTGACCTTGCCCCAGAGGAGGTAAAGTCCTCAATCTGATTGATCGCTTTTGCAATTGCTGGTCACGCCATAATTTTTAATGTTATCAAAATAAGTTAAGTCTGATCTATAGCCTGTGTTTAGTTATATATGATAATGTGAGAACTTACTCTATGATTTACAACTTCTATAAATCAAGTCTACAAATCATAGGGACGCTATTAAATCAAACATAGTGTGGATCCACAAACATGATACTCATCTAAAATAGTTGGAACTACACTATTTTATTGGAGTTATGTTATGCAGTAGCAATGCACAATTTGCAGTAGTTGTAAGTTATGAATGAATGTTGTTCTGTTTCATGCTCTCAATTCTCATTCGGTTTTCCATTTCGTTTATTCAGTACATACTTAAGGTGGGCGAAGGTCCTGCAGCTCAGTGCATTAGCGGCTTTATTGCTCTAGATGTTCCTCCTCCACGAGGCCCTCTCTGGTACATCAAATATCATCTATTACTTTGAAACATTTACCTGCATAATTGAAATCTTCTTCTTTCATGAACCTTTCCCTCATTTTCAAATACACTATGCTGGAATACTAGTTTTTTCTTATATTAGAGAAACAAAGAAGTGAATAGGATATAGGAACAAGTTATTTAAATCCACACATTATGTTACTTGCTCATATTTCATGTTGGTGATTTTAGTATCATTAATGTATTTTAGTAGTAATGTGATTTATTGTAGGCCGATGCAATTATGCGTTAAGCTTGAAAACGAGTTAGGGTAGTGCGGAGTGCACGCTCATCGAGGCAACGTGTAATTGAATGCGAATAATTGAAAAGGGGTTCCAAGGGGCAAAGCCCCTGGCGGGGTGCGGGGCAGCGCCCCGTTTGGGTTCCAAGAGGCAGAGCCTCGTTCGAAATTTTTTGAACAGTTGAACCCGTTCGAAATTTTTGAACAGTCGTGTCTTTTCGGTTTCTGTTATTAATCTCCTATATAAGGAGTCATTTGGCCCCAGTTTAAACACACAAAACAAAAATCATACTTTCTCTCTACATTTCTGATCTGTTCTCTATTGCCAGAAGCAGATTGTTCTTCAAGAATTATCCCCACAAAGATTTCGTGAACCCAGGCAAATAATAGGATCGAAATACTTTGTTCGGAAAGTGTACGAACACGATTCCTCGAAGTTATACAGGATTATCATACGCAAATATCTAACAAACGAACAAGGTATTGTCTGATAATCATGGCTTGGAGGAATCACCATCAAGGAGATGACTACAAATTTTGGAAAATTGGACAAGTTTCAAGGACAAGACTTCAGGCGTTGGCAGAAGAAGATGCATTTCATGTTGACAATGTTGAAGGTGGCGTACGTCCTGTCTACACCGATTCCAGAACTTCAGGAGGAAGACACGGTTGAAAATATGAGACGAAGTTCAAAGTGGGAGAACGACGACTACATATGCAGAGGGCACATTCTTAACGGTATGTCTGATCCCTTATTTGATCTTTATCAAAACATGGAATCTGCAAAGGAATTGTGGGCAACTGGGGCATAGGTATCGAAATAATCAATCTCTTTCTTTTGTCTGAAGCCTTGGATAACTAATCTAGCTTTAAACTTATCAATTGTACCATCGACTTTCATCTTTTTTTTGAAGATCCATTTGCAACCCAATGGTTTGTAGCCTGGTGGTAAATCAGATAATACCCAAGTATTATTTTCCATGATATAACCAATCTCTTCATCAATTGCTTCTTTCCAAAAAACAGAATCTCGAGATTTCACAGCTTCATCATACGTTCTTGGATCCTCCTCTATACTACTATAACAATAATAATATTGAGCATCAATCTGATCCTTTGATCCCTCAACTAGATATAGTTGAAAATCAGATCCATAAGATCTAGATTTTCTAGCTCTTTTGCTCCTACGGAGTTCAACTGTCTTACTTGGCACATCATTTGAATGATCATCCCTTAGAGATTCATCTGAATTAGATATAGAGTCCTTTGGTCTAGGTATAGAAGAGAAACAATTCTCATCAAATATGGCATCTCTTAATTTTATAAACGTGTTAACAGAAATCGAGTCATTAGGTTCTATAACATAAAACCTATAGGCCTTGGAGTGCTCAGCATATCCAACAAAGATGCAAGCTACACCCTTTTCACCCAAAGTTTTCCTTTTTGGGTCCGGGAGTCTAACCACGGCCCTACAACCCCAAACACGTAGAATTTAGTGAAACCGAATGCTTCAGAATTTAGTGAAACCGAATATTTAATCAAACTATTCAAATCACGAATTGATTTCTGACCTTGGTTTTCGGATTGGTCCTTAGACCCCTTTCCGGAACCACTTGCATTCGCGTTATCGTGCATTTTTCCGGAACGACAATCCTTCTTGAAGTGGCCTGTTTTGCCACACTTCCAGCATTCTAGTTTCGATTTCTTGTTAGCACCGAAACTGCCTTTTTTGTTCTTGAAAGCACGCTTCTTTCCTTTGTTTTTGTTGTTATCTACCACCCTCTTCGACCATATTAACCGAGGGTCCAGCAATTTCTTTGCCTTTTTCTTTGTCACCCTCCTGCGCTCTTAGAGATTCTTCTATGCGCAAGTGACTTCCAAGTTGGATCAAAGACAGTTCGTCTTTTCCATGCTTCAGATTGTGTTTGAAATCCTTCCACGAAGGAGGCAACTTGTCTATGATGCTTGAGACAGATATTGTTTCATCCATCTTCAATCCGTGTTGTGTGAACTGTCCAAGGATTCAGAGGAGTTCATTGAATTGTTCCATGACAGACCTCGATTCAACCATTTTGTAATTGTTGAAATCGGTTACCAGGAACTTTTTACTGGATGAGTCCTCTGCCATGTACTTGGATTCGAGACAATCCCACAATTCCTTTGCAGATTCTATGTTTTGATAAATATCAAATAAGGGATCAGACATACCGTTAAGAATGTGCCCTCTGCATATGTAGTCGTCGTTCTCCCACTTTGATCTTCGTCTCATATTTTCAACTGTGTCTTCCTCCTGAAGTTCTGGAATCGGTGTAGACAGGACGTACGCCACCTTCAACGTTGTCAACATGAAATGCATCTTCTTCTGCCAATGCCTGAAGTCTTGTCCTTGAAACTTGTCCAATTTTCCGAAATTTGTAGTCAAATCCTTGATGGTGATTCCTCCAGCCATGATTATCAGACAATACCTTGTTCGTTTGTTAGATATTTGTGTATGATAATCCTGGATAACTTCGAGGAATCGTGTTCGTACACTTTCCGAACAAAGTATTTCGATCCTATTATTTGTCTGGGTTCACAAAATCTTTGTGGGGGATAATTTTTGAAGAACAATCTGCTTCTGGCAATAGAGAACAGATCAGGAATGTAGAGAGAAAGTATGGTTTTTGTTTTGTGTGTTTAAACTGAGGCCAAATGACTCCTTATATAGGAGATTACTAACAGAAACCGAAAAGACACAACTGTTCAAAAATTTCGAACGGGTTCAACTGTTCAGGAATTGTTCAAAAAATTTTGAACGGAGCTCTGCCCCTTGGAACCTCAACGGGGCGCTGCCCTGCACCCTTTTCAATTACACGTTGGCTCGACGAGCGTGCACTCCGCACTACCCTAACTCGTTTCCAAGCTTAACGCATAATTACATCGGCTTACAATAAATCACATTAATACTAAAATACATTGATGATACTAAAATTATTAGTAATAATTCATATTTTATTATATTACTTTCTTAAGCCCATAAGTTTGTTAGAGGGTATTTTAGTATTTTATCTTATTCTAGTAACCCTAGTTTTAGCTTATAAATAGGGTGACAATCATTGTAACTCTTAATCCTGTTTCTTCTGCCGTTATTCTCTTTAATAGAATATTTCCCTATTTTCATCATTTATTCTATCTTTGCACCAACAATTGGTATCAGAGCTCCGGTTCATATTCATTGGGAAACACGGGAAACACGAGTGAACGTGAGGTCTTGTGTGTTTGATTTTGATTCTTAGATTCGTGTTGAATCTTGAACAAAATCTGATCAGAATTTTATTTTGTGGGTTGGGAAACACTGTGTGAGAAATCTGAGTGTATTGTGCAAAGTAGAAGATGAACGGAAACGGCAACATGAACACCAAACTTCCAGTATTTGATGGTAAAAACTGGAATCGTTGGATGATCCAAATGCGTGTACTATTTGGTGCTCAAGATGTTCTAGATCTTGTCACTGATGGTTATGTTCCAGTAGCAGCAGATGCAACCGATGAACAGAAAAACGCGCAGAAGGAAGTAAGGAAGAAGGATCAGAAAGCATTGTTCTTCATGCATCAATGTGTGGATGTAAACGTGTTTGAGAAGATTGCAGACTCTACAACAGCAAAGGCTGCATGGGACACTCTGGTGAGATGTTATGGTGGTGACGCATCAGTGAAGAAGGTGAAGCTTCAGTCCTTGAGAAAGCAATATGAGAATCTCAACATGAAGAATAATGAGAAAGTTTCTGAATACATCTCCAGAGTGATTCTGATCACTAATGAGATGAAGGCATGTGGAGAAACTCTTTCTGAAGAAACAATCATGGAGAAAGTATTGAGATCCCTTACTCCTCAATTTGATTACATTGTGGTAGCAATAGAACATTCCAAAGATCTGAGCACAATGAGAATTGAAGAGCTGCAGAGCAGTTTAGAAGCGCAAGAGTTGCGTTTGACTGAGAGAACTTCTGAAAGGGAAGTAGAGCAGCAGGCTCTGAAAGCAATTTCTGATAGGAGGTATCAGAAGCAGTCAGAAGCCAAGAGAAGATCTGATGGTGGTCAGAAGTCAGATACCTCAACCTCTGATAGACAAAAGAATGCTCAGAAGGGAAAAGAGAAGTATGACAAGAAGAAGATCCAATGTTACTGTTGTAAGAAGTTTGGTCACTTTGCTAGAGATTGTTGGTCAAACAAGGAGAAGAAATCAGAAGAAGCAAATATAGCCAGAGGCTCTGATGACGAATCTGTGCTGTTGATGGCCTCTGAATCTGATAATGTGGATCTGACAGACTGGTGGTATATGGACACTGGCTGTTCAAATCATCTTACTGGAAACAAGAAATGGCTGGTTGACTTTGACTCTGAAAAGAGAACAAAGATCAGATGTGCTGATGACAAATATCTTAATGCAGAAGGTATGGGAAATGTCAGAGTGACTCTGAACAATGGGAAAATAGCATTGATTCAGAATGTGTGGTATGTACCTGGCATCAGAAGCAATCTGATGAGTGTGGGACAATTAATTGAGAAAGGTTTCTCAGTTACCATGAAGGACAATCTTCTGAAGTTGTATGACTGTAATCAGAAGTTGATTATGGAGTCAGAACAGGGAAGGAATAGAACATTCAAGGTGAATGTCAGAACTGCAGACTCAGAGTGTCTTAGTGCAACAAGTACTGAGAAGGAGAGTGAGCTGTGGCACAAAAGATTTGGTCATTTGAATTTCAGAAGCTTACAACATCTGAATTCAAAGAAATTGGTACATGGAATTCCTGCAATTAAGAAGCCTGAAAAGTCATGCAGAGTTTGCATGGAAGGAAAACAACCAAGATTGCCATTTGCATCAGAAGCTGCTCCAAGAGCAAAACATGTCTTGGGAGTTGTACACTCTGATGTGTGTGGTCCATTTCCAGTAGCATCAATTGGAGGGAATAAATACTTTGTGTTATTTGTTGATGAATTCACAAGAATGACATGGGTATCCCTTATTAAGTTTAAACACGAGGTGTTTGATGAATTCAAGAAGTTCAGAATGAAGGCTGAGAATCAGAGTGGTCAGAAGTTGAAGATTCTTAGAACTGATGGTGGAGGTGAGTATAACTCCAAAGAGTTCCAGAAGTTCTGTGAGGAGAATGGAATTGAGCATGAGGTTACTGCTCCTTATACCCCTCAACACAATGGTCTTGCTGAAAGAAGAAACCGCACTCTGCTTGATATGGTGAGAAGCATGCTAAAGGAGAAGAAGCTTCCTCAGAAGCTCTGGGGAGAAGCTGTTGCCACTGCAACGTATGTACTCAACAGATGTCCTACGAAGAAGTTGAAGGAAATAGTTCCTATGCAGAAGTGGACTGGAGACAAGCAAAGTGTTAGTCATCTGAAGGTGTTTGGTTCTGTTTGCTATAAACATGTTCCAGAAGCCAGAAGACAGAAGCTGGATGATAGAAACAAAGTGATGATTCTGATAGGGTACCACAGTACAGGTGCATACAAGCTCTATTGTCCAGAAACCAATAAAATTGAATTCAGCAGAGATGTGATTGTGAAGGAATCAGAAGTTTGGAATTGGGATAAGTCTCAATCTGATTCTGATGTTAGAACCTCTGAAGAAAGGTCAGAGTTAAGAATTTCTGAAGTTGAAGTAAACCCTGATATTGACTCTGACTCTGATACTGATTCAAACTCTGAAGAAGACTCAGAAGATGAAGGTGACCCAGATGACCCAGACTCTAATGATTCAGACTCTGATGGCAATCCAGATCTTGGTGGCAATTCAGACTCTGGAAATATGCCAGACTCTGAAGATGGTCAAAGCTCTGGAGGTCAATCATCTGAAGCTAGAAACTCTGAAGCTCAAGACTCTGAACAAGTTCAGAGACCACAAAGAATCAGAAGCGTTCCCAGAAGATTTGCAGAATTTGACATGCTGCAAGACACTGAAGTAGACTCTGAAGGAGAAGTTATTCAGTGTGCCATGTTAGTAGACTCTGAACCTATAAGTACAGAGGAGGCTCTTAAGCAGAAGCTCTGGCTGAAGGCCATGAAAGAAGAACTTGATGCTATAGAGAGAAACAAGACTTGGAAGCTGACAGAACTTCCAAAAGACAAGAAAGCCATCAGCGTCAGATGGGTTTTCAAGCAGAAGTTAAAGCCAAATGGCTCAATTGGCAAACATAAAGCAAGGTTGGTAGCCAGAGGATTTCTACAGAAACCTGGGCTGGATTATTCTGAAGTGTTTGCACCTGTAGCAAGACATGAAACAATCAGAATGGTGATTGCAATAGCTGCTAACAGGAATTGGCCTCTGATGCATTTAGATGTAAAATCTGCATTTCTGAATGGTCCATTAGAAGAAGAAGTTTACGTGTCACAACCTCCTGGATTTGTGAAAAAGAATCAGGAAGGGATGGTGTACAGATTATACAAAGCTCTATATGGATTGAAACAAGCGCCCAGAGCTTGGAATCAGAAGATTGATTCATTTTTCAAGAAGCAAGACTTTCAGAAATATGAGATGGAGTACGGTGTTTATGTTCAGCATACTTCTGAAGGCAATATGACTCTGGTATGTTTATATGTTGATGATATACTATTGACTGGAAGTTCTGAACAGGAGATAGCCAAGTTCAAGAAGGTTCTAATGAATGAATTTGAAATGACTGATCTAGGCAAAATGACATACTTTCTAGGGATGGAGTTCAGATATTCTGAGAAAGGTATCATTTTGCATCAGCTCAAGTATGAATTAGAACTTCTGAAGAGATTTGATCTGAAGAATTGTAAGATGGTTGTCACACTTTCTGATACAAATCAGAAACTAGATTCAGACTCTGAAGGAAAGGATGTGGATGCTACAACCTTCAAACAGTTGGTTGGTTCTCTGAGGTATCTGTGCAATACCAGACCTGATATTTGCTACTCAGTTGGGATGGTTAGTAGGTTCATGAGTAAACCTAAGTGGTCCCATTATCAAGCTGCTGTCAGGATTCTGAGGTATATCAAAGGAACTCTGAAGTATGGAGTGTTATTTTCCTCTGGAGGAAATAATGAGTCAGAACTTCTGAGTTATTCAGACTCGGATTGGTGTGGAGACAGAGTTGACAGAAGAAGTACATCTGGGTACTTGTTCAAATTTCTGGGAGGTCCCATTTCTTGGTGTTCCAAGAAGCAACCTGTTGTGGCGTTGTCAACCTGTGAAGCTGAATACATTGCAGGTGTTGTTACTGCATGCCAAGCTGTGTGGATTCTGAATCTGTTGCAGGATCTGAAGATTAAGGTAGACAAACCTCTGAAGTTGATGATTGACAACAAGTCTGCAATCAACCTTGCTAGAAACCCAGTGCTGCATGGGAGAAGCAAGCATATTGAGACCAAGTATCATTTTCTGAGACATCAAGTTCAGAGTGGAGTGTTAGAAGTTGTACACTGCAGCACTCAGAAGCAGTTGGCAGATGTTCTGACGAAAGCTATCAAGACTGATCAATTTCTCAGATTAATGGATGGAATTGGTGTTACAAGTTTTGATGGAATATGAATTAAGGGATGGTATTAGTAATAATTCATATTTTATTATATTACTTTCTTAAGCCCATAAGTTTGTTAGAGGGTATTTTAGTATTTTATCTTATTCTAGTAACCCTAGTTTTAGCTTATAAATAGGGTGACAATCATTGTAACTCTTAATCCTGTTTCTTCTGCCGTTATTCTCTTTAATAGAATATTTCCCTATTTTCATCATTTATTCTATCTTTGCACCAACAAAAATCACCAACATGAAATTCTCCAAATTATGATTTTCTCAGCTAATTGCATGTCTACTTAAATGCAGGATCCTTGGAGATATCTTCATGGGACGTTATCACACAGTCTTTGATTTTGGTAAATCAAGAATCGGATTTGCTGATGCAGCTTAAAAACGAACGCACTCGTCTCTAGAATCACTCTTATTTGCTATCTATTTGTGAACTTTGACAAACATAAACTATGTGTATACTAAGGTGTTGTCACTCCCACTTGGATGGACTAAATAGCTTCAATGGTTTATTTGTGTCTGGCCATATTGAGTCCCAAAATTATGTACGCATGCAGTTTTAGAAGCAAGATGCATGTAAAGTGGTTAACATGGTGATGCCAAGTAACAAATCACGACTCTGTTTAAAAAAAACAAATCAGTATTCATCTAAAATATGGGGACAACTTCATTATCCTACATAAAAAATTGGGTAATTTTGCCCATCTTACTTGTCTTAAATATGTATTTATTTCTCACACTTTTATTACTCACACTAATCGATGGACCGGCTAGTATACTACGTAGAAGGACATAAAATAGTAGCAAATAATTTCACAATTTCGCATATGAAAAGAATGTTTTTCTTTTGTTTCTAGTACAATATATTATTATGTAATTTAATTTAATTATATATTAAATAAAGGTAAGAAAAACTAAAACATTAATAATAAAAATAATAATTTGTAGTACGCGTTAGAAATATCAATGATGGATGATATTGAATTGCAACAAAATTAAGCTTGTTTATTGTGTTGATATGTTTGTTTTATTATCATTCTAAAACTCAAAAAATATTATATGATAGGATTAAATTACATAATTTTTGAATTTATGATATTTTTTCAACTTTTATAAACCTTCTCTAAATAATTAATCGTGCAACATATTTTATTATTAAAATAAATATGATAAACTTAAAATGTATTATATGCTTTGCAATAAAAAATTATATGAGGTAAGTATACCAAAGTAAAGTACATTCACATGAGTAAATACATCAAAGAACTTCTGAAAAAGTTTGACATAATAGAATGCAAGATGTCTAAAATTCTTATGCATTTTACGTATATTTTTGAGAAGGATGAAGTAAGTGGTAAGGTGGATCAGAAGCTATACAGAAATATGATTGACTCTCTTATATACCTGACTGTTTCTAGACCTGATATTTTGTTCAGTGTATGCTGAGACAGCCTATGTCCCATTAGTGGAATTCTAATGAAACCTTATAAAAATACAGAAAAATTTGAAATTTTTAAAGGACAATACTTAATTATTTAAAAACATACTGTTTCACATACATATGCTTCAAATATATTTTACAGAGTTTGACACCGTTAAGACTAGCGGCCTTGCCACATAGATAAAACATAAAATAAAAGTACAGAAAGGAAACCAAAAAGAAAGCATACCAAAAGGGACCTCCTAAGTCCAACAAGACTGACACTTATACTGACTGTAGTAGTAGGGATGTGATTAGCGTTTGACAAAACACTAACAGCTCCCAATCTAGATGTTATAGTAACACATCTCCACGTCACTTCATATCCTTTCCTTCTGAGTTGTCGGGAAGTACGCAAGATTCGAGCTCATCGTCTGATCGTCATAAAATAATCCAAAATGCAAAACAAAAATGACACAGGGCTAAGATTCATGTACAAGTTTAAAAGTGGGAATGAATGTGTAAAATAATAATATATATGGAAACCATATTTATACAAACAAGCGTATCTTATACCCACAATTACATATACTTTATTTATTCTAATGCATCCCTGAACTATATGCTGACTCAGGCCACTAAACGCTGTCAATGATATCTATCCCATTTACCAAGATCAGATATCACTAGACCACATGCCACCAACGTACTCCCAATTACCAAGAGCTACGCCACCTAACTTCACATGGAGCCTAGGTGTTATAAGTCGATCGTCCCTGAGAATTCAGGCCAAGAACCTTGTCTTGCCTAGCATGCATAGATAATAATCCCCGTCGGGATTGCAGGCGACTGATCAACCTCGTGCGTCCCATACCGCACGGCGGTGGACTTACACATTCCTTAATGCAAGTCTATATGATCACTCACTCATCTTGTGGCAACTCTTAGCCATAAGTATTAAGTTAATAATGGGGAATTATCGTATCAACTTTTCAAGTTATACTTATTATCTAGATACTTAGGTTGAGTACCAAATCCATCCAATGTCTTGCCATATTTGATCTTTGTCCTTACATAATAAGTTCAGTTTGTATAATGGGTAATTGTATGGTTAACTTCCCAGGTAAGAGAGGTGGACTGTAAACGGCATAGTCGACCAAGTCTTTCCTTAGCCAGAACCCAACCAAATATAACTACTCATTGTATCCAACTTTCCTTATGTTAATGGGGATCAATTACTTAATATCTAGCAATGTTTTTCTCTCATTAACCGATTATTTCCTTAATCTATCAATCACAATCATTCAAGTATAAATAAAATAAACAATTATAAAATTAACCGAATAATGCAAGCACAATACAATACCAAATTGTCAAAGATTATTCCTATGATAATTAATTAAGGCCGGCGTAACCTCGCCTAGTGATTTGTGAAAATCATTATTTGAGAATAGGCTCTCCTTAATTATTTATCGCTAGTAGGGCTTAGGTCACCACTACACACATATATATTAAGTTATTTTACGCTAACCGTCCCAATCGTATACGAAATCTTGCCCCCACCTTTTGTTGAGTGTTGTTGAAAGTCCACAAGTGTTGTCTTCGATCTTTGCCAAGAACCTAATTTACGATAACCGTTGGATTGTACGAAATTTATGAAATAATTAGAATATAATTTATGGTTAATTGAACATAATCCCGTTATAACTTGAAATATTTATTTATTTAAATATATCATAATAACCTCCAAAATAATTATTAAATTCAAATATAAATTATATTATACCTCCTTTTGAATTTGTTTGTTTTAGAAAATTGTCAAGAGTATATTTCTAATAACATTTAAATTATAATAAAATTTGGGCATTATAACGACTTAAAATGGTAAAATTTATTTTGGACTTTATAAGTTCAATATATCGACGTCTGAACGGAATTTGCATAGAAAATTTAAAATAACCTTTATATAAATAACATAATTAAAATAATATAATTAAAATAAAATGGACATTATAACGGCTTACCGATTACTTATGAAAATGATTTGGGCAGAACTTTGACGTATAAAACTCCCTTGAAACTTTAGAAGAACTTTTACCACAAAATACTCTAAAGGTTACGAACCGATATCGTGGGAACTTCGATAACTAAAACTAATATTGCTATATGAAGAAATTAGAGAAGGAAAGAAGTAAAGAAGTAAGAAAGACGATTTGTGAATGAATGAATGAAAATGGGGTGGAAGAGACCCCTATTTATACTAGTTGTAAAATATTAAAATAACATAATTTATCATCTTTTGCCCATACCTTCCAACTTTTCAACTCTTGCTAGTAAATATGTCTCTATCAAATATTTACTAATCTTTCATCAATAGTGCTTTAGGTGTTCTAGTATGACTTTGTGAAAATAATTTATGACAAAGGTATGGGAGCTTGATTTCATGACATAATATTATGTAGGATATTAATAGAAAATGAGATATATATTTCTTTTATAAAAAGTAAAATGTTAATAATATTAATAATAATAAAAATAGTAAAAAGGATAGTTATTTGATATTTTTATTGTCTTAAGATTATTTTATTTATTAATTGGTTTATAGAGTAAAATGATAATATTCAAATAAAATAAAATCAATTAATAATAACAAAACAAGAACAACAATAATGATAATAATAATATGAATAATTAATTAACTTAAAGTTAAGGGTTTTAAGTACCAATTTAAATTTCAAAGTTTAGTTTATAAAATGAAACGATGATATTCAAATTGAAGAATAAAAGTAATAAATATAAAAAGTAATTAATTAATAAATTAATTATTATAAGTGTTAGTTTCAACATTTAATTTTTAATAACTAGCATTGTTAAAATCTCAAATCTAACTAGATATATTATTTAGTGTATGGAAAAATTAGGATGTTACATTACCACCCCCCTTAAAAGAAATTTCGTCCTCGAAATTTAGCGTACCTAAAACATATGTGGATACTTCTGACGCATGTCTTCTTCTCTTTCCCAAGTAGAATCACCAGTTACATCATCCCACACGACTCTAACCAATGGTATTTGCTTTCCACGAAGTTCTTTAATACGATGATCTAAGATCTTGACAGGTATAGCCTCATATTCCAAATTATCTCTAAGTTCCACAGTTTCAGGCTCAATGACATGTGAAGGGTCCGGATAATACTTCCTCAGTTGTGATACATGAAATACATCATGAAGATTAGACAAGTTTGGCGGCAAAGCAATGTGATACGCTACAGGTCCAATCCGCCGTAGAATTTGAAAAGGCCCGATAAACCTTGGTGTTAACTTCCTAGTTTTGATTGCTCGTGCAATTCCCGCCCTAGGAGTTACCCTAATGAACACGTGATCTCCTGCCTCGAACTCCAAAGGTCTTCTCCTCTTATCATTATAACTCTTTTGACGGTCCTGTGCTGCCTTCATTTTTTCTCTAATAAGTTTAACCTGATCTGTCGTTTGTTGCACGAATTCTGAACCCAATATTTTATTTTCTCCAACCTCATACCAACATAAAGGTGTACGACACTTTCTTCCGTATAATGCTTCATATGGAGCCATGCCGATACTTGAGTGAAAACTATTGTTGTAAGTAAACTCAATCAATGGTAAGAACTCGTCCCAACTTCCTTTGTGTTCAAGAGCACAAGCTCTCAACAAATCCTCTAACGATTGAATCGTCCTCTCAGACTGGCCATCCGTTTGGGGATGATAAGCTGAACTTAACCTCAGTTTTGTTCCTAACTCTAAATGCAACTGATGCCAAAAATTTGATGTGAATCTGGGATCTCTATCACTGACTATACTTGAAGGTATTCCATGCAATCTAACAATCTCCTTTACATATACCTGAGCTAGTCTCTCTAATTTAAACGTCTGGTTGATGGGAATGAAATGTGCACTCTTTGTCAACCTATCAATGATCACCCAAA